TCAAATAAATAAATAAAATCTTTAAAAAAAAAAAAAAGGCAGCCAAAGGATCAGGACAGACAGCACTGTCAGGAGACAATCCAGGACCGAGTGACGAGGACCAGGACAGACAGCACAGAGAGTAGGACATGGCCAGGCTGATCCAAGTAGGGGGGCCAGGCTGATCCAAGTAGGGGGACTAGGATGTCACTACTAAATAACTAGAAGGGATAACCTTTATCCTCAAGCACCTCCAAAAAGACTTGCAGACACCAAGCAAACACATCTCAAACAACATATGAACAGAATGAGGGAGGAAATGCATAGCCTAGGTTTGGACCTGGTGCCCTCACTTCCTAGCTGAGTGACCATGTGCATACTGCACCTAATCTTTTGAGCGCCCTCTCCTCTTCCATCATAAGGAGAGGCATGCATGCCTCCTAGGTCTTGCTAAGAGGAATGGTTGAATGAAGCACAGACTCCATCATCAGACACTTTCTCTGGGTCAGGCAGTGTTCTGGGAGCTGAGGATGCTACAGGGAACCAGAGGGACAAGTAGTGTGGCTCTCGAAGGGAGATGATACCGGGCAGTCTCTCAAAACAGTGCCCAACACGTGCACCCGATGCGTGTTTGTGTCCGTGGTGGCATGACCACTATTATTAAGAAACCTCATAGGGTGGCCTGGAGAGGGCTTGGGGGAGGGGTTAACGTAAGGCAGAACCATAATGGGAATCACGAAGCTGCCGTTCATTGGGTACTCAGAACGTAAAGACTTCACATATAATAATTTGTTTGATCCTCACAGCAACCCTATGGGATGGATACTCATCACCCCCATGTTACAGATGAGCAAACTGAGCCACAGATCCATGTAGAACTTGCCTGAGGTTGCACAAGTGGGGAAGCCAAGATCCGAAACCAGTCGCTTTGCTCCTCCCTGCCGTCTCTCGGTGGGTGCCCCAGGCAGGCTGCTTTTAAGAGCTCAGGGCTTCTTTTGGAAGCCCAGATTGCTGGCATTTTGGGTGTTCAAGCTGCAGCAGGGTGACCATCTGTCAAAGCGTTCTTGTGGGGATTCCGGGTAATATCAGATGACTGAATATTTCTACAGAAAAGACGGTGCCCAGAGTCTCTCAGTGGCACTGCTCTGGGATGCTAACGAGTGATTTCCTCTTGTCTCTTACAGCTCACAGCGCCACACTTCCCCATGGTTGTCAAGCTGGGACACGCCCACGCTGGAATGGGAAAGGTATGAGAAGCAGCTCTTATACTGGCCTTCATACCCACGCAGCCTCCCCAGACTACCTGTTCCCCTCTCCCTCTGTCCCCCTCCAGCCCCATCTTGGCTCAGGATGCACCCTGTCCTCCCCCCACCCCTCCTCTGAGCTCCCATAGCATGGAGCGTCTCTCCAGCTCGGTCTATACCCAATGAACCCTGCCAGGAGTTGCTAGTTAATTGTTTCCTATGATTGTGGATTCGGAGCAATGAATGTAAAGCATTTTATAGATGCTGATTCTTTTGTTCCCATCCTCATTTCCACGGCTGCTCTCTAAGCTCCTGTCTTACCCATCTCCCCGCCACGTGCAGGGCCAGGACCTAGAAGGAGGCGAATACATATGGCTCCGTGGAGACGCCCCTGGAGTCAGTTAGCTTCTGCAAGAGTAAATTATATATTTTTCACAGGCACAGCTGACATATTTGTCATAATTGGTCAGATCTTTCAGTCGCAAGTGTAGAAACGCAACTCAAATCAGGAAGCAAAAGAGAATCCATTGGTTTGAGCCACCAGGAAGTCTGGGAGAGTTCTTGAAAGGTCTGGGCAGAGCTGGATCCCGGAGCCCAAGCAAAGCCATCAGACCTAGTCTCCTGTATTTCTTGACCCTGTTTATCTCTGCCTGGTGTTTTCTTCAGATAGTCAAGATGGCTGTGGGTGGCCTACCCTGGTCCCCAAGCTCGCTGCCGCAGAGGAAGAAAGACCGTGTCTCTTTCCAGCATCTCTGTGTAAATCCCATGGAGGCCTTGCTTGGGTTCCTGGGCCCACCTCCTAACCAGCACATGTGGAGATGGTTGCAGCCCCAGTTGAACTGTGTGGATCAGGGTGCCCACAGGAAAGGGAGATTTACTCCTAAATAAGAGCGGTGGGAATGTGGGAAAGCGTGGGGGCCACCACAGGCCACCTCTCAAGTCTCTGGCTCAAATAAATAGAAACCTTGATCTGAGTAGGCCCAGCCCAGCCCAGCCATAAATAATCCTGCACCTGGCGCCTTTATTCTTCCCCACCCTATTATGCCTTCTGTGTCATCTCTCCCCACCTAAACTCCATCCCCTTCAGGCAGCAAAGGGTGGAAAGGGCCAGACGGGTCAGGGCACGACCCACAGCTCTTACATTCGTGTGAACTTGAACAAGTTGCCATCTGACCTCTCTTGGCCTTTTCTGTCGAGTGGTGATGATTCTAACAACTGTCTTTAAAAGAAGTCCTCCCTCCCTCCCTTCCGTCTTCCTGAAAGGGCACACCGTGAGGGCAGGGGTCTTGCCTATTTGTCCACTGCCATATCCCTGGCCCAGTGGGGGCCCAGTGGCCCCTCAGCTTGTTGGGCAAGCAGATGGATGAGTGACTCCCTCTTTAGACACGTCCCTGTGTCTGTGCCCCACTGCCCCTCCTCCTGAGCCCCCCTGCACCTCTGCACCTGGGCTCCGGCCCCTCCACTCCGCTGAGGGGTTCCTTTAGTCCTCAGCGACCCTCTGCTGCTGAGTCAACGGGCACTTTTCCATCCGTATGGGAGCTCCCCTCCCTGTATCTCTTAAAGCTGCTGGCCATGCCTTCTGCCTGAAACTCCTTCTCCAGTGGCCTTTGACTCATGCTCCCCTCCTGGCTCTCCTCTGTCTCCACCACTCCTTCACAGTCTCCTTCGCGTTGTTTTCTTGCTGCCCCGTCTTTAACGTGTCTGTGCCAACGGCACACGCCACCTGAGCACTCATCTGCCCTCTCAGCTCCCACGGCCACCTGCACACCACCAACAGCCCCTGGGTCACATTTCCCATCCAGAGCCTCAGCTCTTATATCCAGTTCCCTCCTCTACATGCCCCCCTTGTCTCCCATGGAAACCTCAGACGCTAACCGTCCCAGACAGCCTGCTCCCCCTCCTCGCCCTCCTCCTCCGCCTCCTGTGGCTGGCTCTGCAGCAGGAACCACCAGAAATCTGGGTGTCCTGGGAGCCCTGGGAGTCCTCTCCTTCCTCCACGTGCAATAGGTCCTCAAGTCTTGTCACTTGCCTTTGTTAATGTTGCTCAAACCAGTCCCTTTCTGGCCGCCCACTGCCACCATCTTGGACAACTCTAGTAAAACTAAAGAGTTCCCAAGAATTAAATTCTGTTTCTCAAGCTTCAAATAATCCCCAACAGGGAATACTTAAAGAGACTGATGCAATGCTCAGGGGAGGGGGTGGTCTGAAACTCAGGCTCACCAGGGAAGCATGGACAGGAGGACACATATCCAAGGATAAAAAGTGTCACTGGCCAGAATAAACTAGGGTTTGCAGAAACGCTGACATCAAGGGAAGAGGGGTCTTCTCCTTCAGTTTGGGATGAGAAAACTATCTGGAATGGCCTGGACATGCCGACTGAGCAGATGATGTCATATTCATGTCTGAGAGGGAGAAAAACAAAATTGGTACCTTCTATGGTACTTCTACTTCTCTCAAGAAGGAAGATCGTCTTCCTGAGAACAGCAAAGGGAACCTTCCTAGGAGAAAACTGGTGAAGAGGTTGCCAATGGACTCAGTGTTGGTGGAAATCCACCTAGGTCCCTGCTGACCCATCGTCAATTATATTTCTCTCCTTTGTTCGTATATATTGATTAGTGCCTACTTGGTGCTGAGAATCAGAAGATAAATAGGACGCAGTTTCTGCTGTCAAGGACTTGGGGAGACAGGCACGTAAATAGGTATAATGTGTGTTGGGGGTCTGATAGGGTGTGCAGTAAGTACAGGGATTGAAGGAAAGAGCTTAATTATAGCTAGAGGATAGAAGGGTGGAAAGAAGCTCTGCATCTGAGGAACTGTACATGGTTTGCTGTGCCTGGAGGTAGAAGGAGTTCTAGCAAACAAGAAAGACCCAAAGACAAGAAAGATGGGCTGACTGTCTTTTTTTTTTTTTTTTAAGATTTTATTTATTTATTTGACAGAGAGAGAGAGATCACAAGTAGGCAGACAGGCAGGCAGGCAGAGGGAGAGGGAGAAGCAGGCTCCCCGCTGAGCAGGGAGCCCGATGTGGGGCTTGATCCCAGGACCCTGGGATCATGACCTGAGCCAAAGGCAGATGCTTAACAACTGAGCCACCCAGGCGCCCCTGATACTGTCTTAACAAAGAATAGAGTCTGTCACAAGGCACAGAAGTCAAAATATATTGAGATGCTATGCAGTGTGGGTGGGGGCATTAAGGTAGGAGGTAATCATGGGGAGCACCATGGGTTCTTCAGAAATCAGTCAGTCTAGACCAACGGTTCTTATGGAGGGAGGGGAATTCTGCCTCCATGGGGCAATTTTGGTTGTCACAACTGGGGGGTGGAGCTGGTACTACTGACATCTGGCATCTACTGAGTGGAGACCAGGGATGCTGCTGGGAACAGCCCATGATGCCTAAGACAACCCCACAGCAAAGAATTATACAGCCCAAAATGTCAATAGTGTCTAGGTTGAGAAGCCCAGGACAAAACTAATTTCATTTCCTTTGTTGAAAGTTTTACCAGACCAGAAACCAGAGGAAGCAATGGTTATTACACAGTTCAACATGCTTCAAAGTCTGTTCCAAAGAATTATAATTATTCAGATGCTAAAGCCTATGTTGGTCAAAAAGGTTTGGAAAATCCTTTAAAGTAAGTTTTTATTTTATTTTTTAATATATTTTTTATTTAAATTCAATTAATTAACATATAGTGTATTATTAGTTTCAGAGGTAGAGTTCAGTGATTCATCAGTCTTATATAATACCCAGTGCCCATTACATCACATGGCCTCCTTAATGTCCATCAGCCAGTTACCCCATCCACCCACCACCCTCCCCTCCAGCAACCCTCAGTTTGTTTCCTATGATTAAGAATCTCTTATGGTTTGTCTCCCTCTCTGATTTCATCTTGTTTTATTTTTCCCTCCCTTCCCCTATGATCCTCTGTTCTGTTTCTTAAATTCCACATAGGAGTGAGATCATATGATAATTGCCTTTCTCTGATTGGCTTATTTCACTTAGCATAATACCCTCTGGTTCCATCCACATCATTGAAATGGCAAGATTTCATTTTTTTCCTGATGGCTGAGTAGTATTCCATTGTATATATATACCACATCTTCTTTATCCATTCATCTGTTGATGGACATGTGGGCTCTTTCCATAGTTTGGCTATTGTGGACATTGCTGCTATAAACATTGGGGTGCAGGTACCCCTTCAGATCACTACATTTGTATCTTTGGGGTAAATACCTTGTAGTGCAGCTGCTGGGTCATAGGGTAGCTCTATTTTCAACTTTTTGAGGAACCTCCATACTGTTTTCCAGAGTGGCTGCACCAGCTTGCATTCCTACCAACTGGAACTTAAGAGTCATAAATTTGCTTAGGATACACTGTTGGGGTAAAAGAACATGAAAGATGTGCTGAATTCCACAGACTTAGCTAACTGCAGAAACCTTTGGCCATTTTTTTATTGTGTCCTTTTATTAATTTGTAACTCTTTCCATATTAAGCACATTAAACCCTTGTCATACTTTGCAACTTTTTTTCTCCAGTTGACAGTTACATGTCCATTTTCTTACTCAGTTTTTAAGCATTTTTAAAGGTGGTTTTTTTTTTTTTTTATGTAGTCAAATGTTTCCATCTTTGGGAGGCAGTGTGTTGTAGTGGCTACAGGTGTTGATTTGAATCTAGCAAGTAAGTTATATAGCCTCTCCCACCTCAGTTTCTTCAAATGGACAATGCAGGTAATCATAGTAGCAACCTCATAAGTTGGTTATGAGGATTAGAAGACGTGATGCAGGTCAAGCACACAGCTCCGCACCTGGAACATGGTGGGCATTCAATAAATATTAGCTGTCATGAGTATTAAGAATGTTCAGGGGTGCCCAGCTGGCTCAGACGATGGAGCGCACCACTCTTGATCTCAGGGTCTTGAGTTCGATTTCCACAATGGGTGTAGAAATTACTTTAAATAATTAATTAATTAATTAATTACTTTTTAAAAAAGAATGTTCAGACATGCTCTGGGGTCCTAAAATCCAAAATTGAAGTCAATAAAGGAGATATGACTAAACAGCATCATCTGTCAGAGACTCTATTCCATTTGGCTGTAATTTCAGTATGAGTCAGATAAGGAGTTGCCAAAGCCTCTAATCCATAAATATGCAAAAAATAGATGAAAATGGGCTCACCCTCATTAGTCATTAGGGAAATGCAAATTAAAACCTCAATGAGATGCCACTGTGTAACCACCAAAAGTTCTAAAATTAAAAAGATGAGTAGTGCTAAGCATTGGCAAGGACATGGAAGAATTGGAACACACACACACAACTACTGGAAGTGCGAATCATTAAAACTGCTTTGGAAGACAGGTTGATGTTATCCACTGAGAAGTTACACAGAAGTTCTGTTAGGTATAGCCAGCCTAAATGCATGTGTCTGCTCACCAGTGTTTATAGCAGTTTGTTCATCATTGCCAAAACCCGGGCACAGCCCACGTACCCATTAATAATAGATTAGATAAATAAATTACAGTATACTCAGACAAGTGGTTGCTTCCAGCGATGAGAATGAATGAACTACAACTATATGTAACAATCTCACACACTTATTTCATTGAGTGAAATAAGTCACATACAAAAGAATGCCTAGTTGAATGGTTCCATTTATAGAAAACTCAGAACCCAGGGAAACTAAACCATAACGTGAAATGGGATACGTATTTAGATGATAAAATGTTTAAGGAAAACAAGAACATTATTACCATAAAACAGTAGAGGTTGCCTTTGTGGAGGATGCAGGAGTGATCATGGGGAGGAGGCAGAAGTGAGCAAAGTTCTAGTTCTTGACTTGGATGGTGCTGATGTGGATGTTTGCTTTGTGATAGCTTGTTGGACTGTTGTTTTTGGACTATGCAATTCTCTGTATGTGTTATATTTCAAAGTAAAATAAGGCTTAAAAAATGTAATCCAGGACATGTTCATGGAGATCTGATATCCAGAATACAGTGAGAGTCCTGCAGTCTGTGGCCAGAAGATTGTTCTGGGTTCTGGGCTGTACATCCATTCCGGGTGTTTGAGAAAGCCATTGACAAATGAGTGTGTCCCAGGGAAGATTAACTGAGCAGTGAAGGGAAGATGCATCTGCTAGAGACAGCATCACCAGCCTCTGCAGAAACATGGAGAATTGTCATGAGTAGATGGATGGGACCAATTTGAAATAATATCTAGCAAATCTGGGACCAAAGTTAGGAGGAAATGAACAAATCTCAATGGCGAAAATTTCTAACAATCCAAGGGGAACATTAATGGAATAGACGGTCCTTTAGGGAAGAGGTTCTCATCAATGCAGAGTTGGACCAAAGATGAATACTTACTGGGAAGTTTCAAGAGAATTTAGGCATTGCATGAGCTCTTTAGCCTGAGATGTTTGAAACCACTGAAATTGGGACAAATCTGTGTATATGTTTTTTTTGGGGGGGGTGTTTATGTGCAGATATGGTACGAACTTTCTGGGTGGGAAGGAGTCCATAGCTTCTTTCAGCTTCTCACAGGGGTCTGTGACCCTTCCAAAGGTTAAGACACCCTGGAGACACTCCTCTATATCTTCCAATGATGAGAATCTGTGGTTATTTTCAATAGTACGAGCAGTCCATTGAAAGGAATGGCACAAGATCATGTTACTATCAGAGGATTAGAAGTCAAGTTCAAGGCCAACTGCCAGTATAACGAGGGGCGGGTAATGTTTATAGCATCTGGAATTGAGGTTTTGGAGTTTGGATCTAGATTGACCATTTCCTGGCTGTGTGTCTTTGGGGATGTTGTTTAATATTTCTGTGCCCCAATTTCCTCATCTCCAATATGGGGACAATATCGCCCTCCTGGGGTTGCAATCCAGATAGAATAAATCACTCAAGGCTTGGTAGGGTGCCTGATAAACACTCAGTGAATGGGAACTTTAAAAACCCACTACAAATATAAACTGTTATTCTTATTACTTAACCGCTTGTCTCAGCAACATCCCCAGGAGAGGCCAAATAACAAGTTAACTCCACCCTGGGAGGTGCCTTATCCTTATTTCATAGATTCACAGCCTCTCAGGGCTTGAGTCCTGGCACCTCATCTAGAAGATAAGAACGTGAGGCCCCAGAGAGGAGAAGTTCTTGCCCGAGGCCACACAGCGAGAGCATCCCGAATAACAGAGCAGGAAGGGAAAGAAAGAGCTTTGCAATTATCTGACTCCATCCCATACTTTAGAGATAAGAGCAGTAATAATAACAGTAACGTAATAACCATAATAATAATAAAAGCTAATGCTTAATAGAGTTTACTCTGCATGGGCACTGTTGTTTTTTGTTTTGTTTTATAAATTGGTTTTCTTTTTTTTTTTTTTAAGATTTTATTTATTTATTTGACAGAGGGACAGCGAGAGAGGGAACACAAGCAGGGGGAGAGGGAGAAGCAGGCTTCCTGCCGAGCAGGGATCCTGATGCGGGGCTCGATCCCAGCACCCTGGGATCATGACCCGAGCCGAAGGCAGTCACCTAACCAACTGAGCCACCCAGGAGCCCCAGCATGGGCACTGTTTTAAGTGCTTGAAATATATTCACTCATTGAGTGCAATATTTATAACTCCCCTATGAGGTAGGTACAGTTGGTACACCCACTTTACAGAGGAGGAAACTAAAGCACAGGGAGTAGGTGGTGGAGTTGGGGTCCAACCCTGGACAGCCTAGTTCCAGTGCCTGGGCTCACAGAGGCAAAGGACATTGACGTGGTCACAGGCTGACTGAGCCCAGACCTGGACATCCTAACACTTCCCCCGTGTGCACAGGGGTTGCTGTCCTGCTAAGCCTGGAATAGTGAGTGACAGGGTTCAGGTGTCCCTGCATCTGGTCTGGAGGGCCGAGGTGGCAGCTCCTCAACTGGACGTTTCCAGCAGCCCAGGCGTCTTGCACACCCCACTGGGCCAGGGCTGCGGCTGTCACCAGCTCTGAGCAACCTGGGCTCTCGTATCCTCTCTTGGACTGACTCACTGAGTGATCTTTTCCCAGCACCATCCGCTCTTTAAGTAGGAGTCCTGGCCCAAGAACACGGTAGTGGAGGAGGGAGGACGAGGAATGAGCAAATGGACAAATGGAACCCAGGGGAGCCATTAAGAAACCAGAAGGTTCCCCAGCACCTGGGAGACCGCCAGAGAGCTCAGCAGAAGCCAAGTTGGGTGAGAGCAGGGGATGGGAGCCAGCCAGCAAGGTGTTCCAGGGGAGGGGCGTTCAAGGTCTCTGCCAGACTATGAAAGAGGACAGGGAGGGACCCTCACCCACTCCACCACCCTCCCTCTCAAGCCCTCCCTCCCCCCACGTCCTCTCTCACCTACCCTGCCACCCCCTTGAGATCACCACCGGCTTCATGTATTCTCTGCTTCTCTTGAGCAAAATGGACCCTTAGCGGAGGATCTAGCAGTCCATTACACCTTTGTGAAAATTTTAAGCACTGTGCTCTCCTTCTCAGAGCCTCTGGCCTGAGGTTGTCCTCTCTACAAGCACAGTATAAACCACCATTCTCATTATTCATGGATTCCGTATGTACAAATTCAACTACTCACTAAAATTTATTTGTAATCCCCAAATCACTTCTTCCGGCACTTTCGCACGCATTCACAGACATGTGCAGATCAGCCAGTAATGTGCGCGTTCCCTGCTGAGGTCAAGCAAGGCAACGGTGCGCCTTCTTGTTTCAGCTCTCATACTGTAAACATTACTATGTCGAGCCACACTTACACCTTCTTGCACTTTCTCGTGGTGATTTCATTGTTTAAAATGCCCCCCCACACACACACACACAAGTGTAGTGCTGAAGTACTGTCTAGTGCAAGAAGTCCTAAGTGCAAGAAGGCTGTGATGTTTCTTACAGGGAAAAAAAAATATGTGTTAGATAAGCTTTGTTCAGGCATGAGTTATAGTGCTGTTGGCTACTAGTTAATGAATCAACAATACATATTCAATAAGATGGCTTGAAATGGAAGCACACATACAACAGGTTATGTATTGATCAGTTGATGAAAATGTTTGTGACTGGAGGCTTCTAGGAACCCTATATTTCCCTTAGGAGCAATGGTTCAGTATTCACTAAATCAGTATTGGCTGCAATGTTCTAGAAGATAACTATCGCAAATGAGGTTCAGCTCTGTGCACCTGTGTGTACATATGTACATACACAGCCATGTATTTGTACATACGTGTGTCTATATCGCACACGTGTGGACACACACACATACATGTGTATTCTATAGAGTCCTAAATGTCTCTTTCTTCCTTTGGATGCCAAAATGCCACGATTCTGAGCACAAACAGAAGCAAACTAAAACAGTCATTTTATGATTCTCTACCCTGGTGTTTGTCATACTGAAGGCAAAGCCACCTGGACCATCCACTCATTTTTCTTTAGGAGGGCTTCGGGCTTAGATCTCTAATGATGGCACTTCCTCTGCCAATTCCCACATCCTCGCATGGCTCTTGGTTGGCCTGGGTTCAGGAGACCTGGGTCCTTCCTGTCAGCCCCGCACCTCCAAGGCCAGCATATTGAACACATAATTTATTTAAACACGTAAGTGCCGTGTGTCAAATAGTCATGATTTTCCTCACCTGATCGCTCAGAAGAATAGTGAGTAGAAGTGTTAAAAGTAAGTGTGAGATGGGGAGGGAAGTGAAGGAGAATATGGGCTTTGAGCTTAGACCTCCTTGGGTTCTCATCTTGACTCTGCCATTTGCCAGCATTGTGACCTTGAGAAAATTATTCAACTTCTTTGGGATCACTCAAAGCAAACTAGACGGGAGGATGAACTAGGAAGAGAGAGAGAGTATACAATTCTGAGCACCCATGAGCCAGGATACATACCTTCAACATCTCCTCTGATCCCAGCTTTGCAGAGGTTCTAAGAGCTGTTTTGCCCAAAGTCACTGGTAAATGCAGGAAGCAGGATTTGAATCAAGATCAGCAGGTCCTTCCGCCCTTTGCTTCAGGCTGCCTGGGACACTTGGGAACATGCTGGTGCAATCATCTCTTCCCTTGATAAGGCGACGCGCCAACTTCATTGGAGAGTTGATTTGTAAAGAATTTCATGGGGCTCCACCCAAAAAACATGTCAGTACCTTGGAGACCAGCACTGACCTTTCCATATGAACTGCTCTTGGCTGGTGGGCTGATCTCACCCCAGGCCCGAAGCCAAGACGGAGGACACTGATGCAAGACAATGAGAAGGAGAAAAAGAAAACTCTTACTCCTGGCACTGGGTTTTAAAGACTGTGTACACTCCCATCCCCTACAAGACCCATTTTGTCAAGAGGGACAGAAGCCCAGGGACAGATTGATCTGGAAAGGATCAGTTACCTGCTTTTGTGTGCACTCGCCACACAACTCTTCCATGAAAAGCAGAATACTTTTGACCGGACATTGAAAAGCGTAAGATTTCCTTTTTTTTTTTTTCTCTTCTCTGTTTTCCTGGTGATATCTATTGACCCATCTTGGTATTGTATGTAACAAAGACCAGAGACATCATCCCCTTAGAAGCCCCTCAGAAAGAGGAGGCTGCATGTGTCGCCTGTTGAGGTGGGGAATGCTCCATATAGTTTACTGGCTCTGATTACTGGCTCCGTACTTTTCCCCCAGCCTTAGACAGTCACATCCACAATGGAGGCCTCGTCAAGCTCCCGCCGTCCTTTAAGGTGGATAGTGCTCCCATGAAGCCCATTTTTCAGATGAGGCAAGCAGAGATCAAGGAGGCAAAATGATTTGCCCAAGGTTGCACACAGCATGCCGGGAAGGCTGCACACTCTTTCCACTGGTCCTGGCGCCCATGCCAAGAGGAGGGCCGCCTCCAGACAGGTCCACTGGGAGCACAGCCTGCGTGTCCACGGAGGCCGTCCTCAGCCAAAATGTGCAGGTGCGGCCCCTTCTTACTGTCAGCAGGCAAGAGAAGCAATGTCCTGCAGCAGGCAGAAGCTGCCTGCCTCACTGAGGCTCCGGCACGGCGCAGCCTCCCTCCAAGCTTCCTGGAAGAGAAACCAGCCACATCTCTGCCTTCTTGGAAGTCGGTCCATTTAGGGGCTGCTGGCTCTGCTACTGATGGGTGGCAACAGCAGGGTTGTTTGTGAGGGAAAGCCAGGGAAGGAGCTAACCAGGGAGCTTACTACATTTTGAAGCATGTGCATGTGTGTATGCACACGTGTGTGCACGTGCTCGTGCGTGTTGCTCGTGTGTGTGTGTGTGTGTGTGCATGCTTGGGGCAGGATGAGCAGATGTCTTAAATGGTTATCAGCAGTCTCGACTAAACCTCCAGACAAATGAGATGCTGTTGGCAGACCCCGTTTTCTTGCCTCAACTCCTGGCCTCCAGTTCCCAGAAACCTCCACACCAATGCCCCATCCTCCAGGATCGAGGCCAGAAGATGCTAAGGAGGCAGTGTGGTGGGGCTGGGAATGATGTTCAGGCCTTCTTGTGTCATGACAAGAGGCTGTATTTAGAGGATTCAGCGGGGTCCATGGAGGAGGATGCTGGTAGTTAATGAAAAGGGCCAGGGGCCTCCAGCCACCCCAAGGGATAGGGGAACAGAAGCAAGAGCACCTATTGAGATGCTCTGGGTGATGGACCAAGTGCGTGTAGCCCTGAAGTCAGACAGGCCTGAGCTCCTCAACAGCCTTGCTGCTCAAAGCGGGCTCTGTGGAAGGACGGACAGCCTCCGCAATCCCTTGGGAACCCCTGCAAAGCAGAACTCGGGCCTGTCCCCAGACCTGCTGAGTCAGATTCATCCTTGCAACAAGATGCTCAATGATTCACAGCTGCTCTGCACACCCAGAGGATGCCAACTCAGATGCCCACTGCATCCAGGCAGTCCCCGGAATGAGTCAGAGGCCAGGTGGGGAGCGTGAGGACCCAGAGAGGCCAGGCCAGCCTGTGTGGACATCCACAACTCAGCCCCAGCAGGACAAAGCCCTGAGACACCAATGCAACCTGATCATCTGATTCTTTCATACAAAGCCAATTCTCTGGGTCTCTGATATGAACTCCCCTTATTTTAAAATATTGGCAACTAATTTTAAAATATTCAAAACACCATGTAGGCCAAATAAAACATGTCTTTTAGCCACTGAACACCCTTGGGGCACCAGTTGGGGGCCTCCAACTTCAGACTGTGAGTGTGGGCGTACCCTCTCTTTCTGGGGGGCCATGGAGCCTCATGGTTAAGGCCACGAGGTATGCAGTAGACCCAGAAGTTCAAATCCCAGTTCAGCCACTTCTTAGTTATGTTATTTTGGTTGAACACTTAACTTGGAGTCTTTGTTTTCTTATCTGTCCAGTGGCCCTAATAGATCTCCCTAGTGGGTGTGGGGTTGCCCTGCTGACTGATTGAGATAAAGCACTTGTAAATACTTGTAGATATGTAAGAGATAATTGATTCACTCCCTCTAGAACCTAAGTGCTTCCTACATTTTCAGCTGCTCACAGATCCCTTGCGGACCTTACTAAAATGCACATTCTGATTCACTAGACCTGGGCGGGGGTGGGGGCCCACCTGCGAGTCTAATAAGCTCCCAGGTGGTATCCGTGCTGCTAGTCCATGTCAACTAGTCCTGAGAGTCAGGGCTCCACAAATTTTTTCCACACAGAGCCAGATGGTAAATATTTTAGGCTTTCGGGCCATATGGTCTGTGGCATCCACTCTGCTCTTGTAGGATGAAAGCAGCCCTAGACAATACGGACATGAATGAGTGTGGCCCTGTTCCAATACAGCTTTATTTATGGACACTGAAATTTCAATTTCATGTCATTTTCACGTGTCGTGGACTATCACTCGTCGTTTGATTTATTTTTTCTCCAACCATTTAAAAACTATTCTTATCTCATGGGCTGCACAAAAATTGGCAGTAGCCCTCAGGATGTAGTTTGCAGAACTCTGCTCTGGGGCATCTTCAAATCCGAGCCAAGTCAGCCTCCCCTGCTGGGTTATAAACTTGCTGGGTGCACGAGCTGTGCCCACCGACTCCACCTCTCTTCCCGACCAAGGCCAGGCCCCGGACAGCAAGCCAGGCCCTGGCAAGCCCCTTCCTTCACCCAGCACAATGCCCGGGGGCCTGGGAGGCTGAGGTGTTGCCTTGCAGAGCTGACATTTGTCAGGGGCCTCCCTTCCCTTCCATTCAATCTCACAGTCACACTGTAACTCTATAAACATGCAGGCAAAAGAATCGGTGACCTGGGACCTCAAGAACAACAGAAGGAGTTTTGATTCATTTTGGGGAAGAGCAAAGGAAAGGAACCAGCGAACTGATAAGCAGGATAATTAAGCAGTTCCCTAAGCAGTCCATCAAAGACTCCCTGTTCCCATCACTTCCCACCCCTCCTTCTGACCCCTGGCAACACATGACCCAAGCCAGCTGGGGCGAGGACATCCTTTGGGCTCTGGGTCTCAGCCTTCAGAAGGATTGGAGGAGGGGTGAGGCTTCTGAAAATGTAAGGCCAAGGGCTCTCATAGTCTTTCAACACATGGTAGTGGATTTGGTGCCCAGCCGTTCTGAGTCGGAGACTCAGTAAATGTTTATCGAATATTTTGGCAAATATTTATGAACATTTGTTATGTGCAAAGAGTAGGCTAGACTTCAGAATAGAGGGCTCTTGGTTAAGATCCAGAGGTGAAATTAAAATAACCTGTATATTAACTACACTGGAATTAAAATTTTATTTTTAAAAAATAGAGTCAATAGGGCGCCTGGGTGGCTCAGTTGGTTAAGTAACTGCCTTCGGCTCAGGTCATGATCCTGGAGTCCCGGGATCGAGTCCCACATCGGGCTCCCTGCTCAGCGGGGGGTCTGCTTCCCCCTCTGCCCTCTTCCCTCTCGTGCTCTCTGTCTCTCATTCTCTCTCTCTCTCAAATAAATAAATAAAATCTTTAAAAAAAAATAGAGTCAATAAAATTGTAAAAATAAATAATTTTTTAAAAAGATCCCGAGGTAAAAAAAAAGACATGGCTTCTGAATGCAGGGAATTTATACACAAAAGACATAGGCTCACACTAGACTACAGTTTGGTGCAGGGCTTGGCAAACTACCACCCACAAGCCAAATCCAACCCTTGACCTGGTCTTGTTAATAAAGTTTTATTGTAGCATAGCCCTGCCCATTTGTGTGCGTATCGTCTATGGCTGCTTTCATAGGACAACATCAGAGTTGAATAGTTTTTATGGTCCGCAAAGCCTAAAATATTTGTCATTGTACTCTTCACAGAAAATGTTGATTCCTGGTCTAGTGCAAAGCTTTTCCAAAAATTTGTATAGCAAACCACAGTAAGTACTAGATTGTGTCTTGCCAGCTGATTCCCAGATATTAAATATATATTGTGATAAGTTCGAAAGAATAAAACTTGCCTTTTCTATGTGCAAGGCATTCTGATATGTATTGTTCCAGTCTGTCATCTTTTAAAATGTTGGTTGTGACCCATTAAATTGATTTGATGACCCATTTCAAACCCACAGTTTAAAAAAATCCTGATTCACTGGAAAGCACAGCATGTTTACTCATTCATTTATTTGGAAAATATTTATGGAGTGCCTTCTACATACCAAGGACTATTCTGGACACTGGAGATGCAGTAATGAACACCACAGAGTCCCTGTCCTCATGGAGCTTACATGCAATGGTGAAAGGCAGATGATAAAAGCATAAACAAATAACAACTGTGATATGTCAGTGATGAGAAAGACTCTGAGGACGAAAAAAACAGGATGAGGGACACAGCATGATGGGGCAACGAGTAAGGAAACCTATCTGTGAGTTGACATGTGGACATGTGGAGGAAGAACATGACAGTGAGGGAAGAGCACATACAAAGGCCCTGAGGCAGGGCCTCTGTGTGGTCAGGAATGGGCAGAGGGCCCGTGGGGCTACAGTGAGTGCTTGAGGTGACAAGTGGCAGGAAATAAGTCCAGAGAGCCATGGAGAGGTGGTAGAAGAGCATGTAGAAAGCTGACTACAATCCAAGCTGAATGAAGTAAACCTTACAGCAGAAATACCGGCCAAGCGCTAAGAAAGGAGTCCAGATAAAACTGGATGAAGGCAGAGGGAGAAATTAATTATAGAGGGAAATGTCAGGGGGAGTGGGAGTATCTTCATGGGGTACCAGGGAGACTTCCAGGAGGCAGGAGCTTTAGCTGTGTCTCAAACAACAGGGAACAATAGGGACACATACTGCAGGTGGATAACAGCTGAGAAAAGCATTCCAGGCAGCAGGATCCACCCCCCACCCCCAAACACACACACAGCGTAAAGGCCTAAGAGAGCATCACAAGCTGTCAGGTGTCGTGGGGACAGTGGTTGACAAGCTTAGCAGCACCTTAGAAGCACCCAGAAAGCTCTGAAATTATACCCCTGCCTGGGGCCCACCCCCAGAGACTCTGTCGTGATTGGCTGACAGAGGGCCCAAGCACTGGCATTTTTTGGTCCCAGGTGATGCTAACGGGAAACCAGTATTCTGGAGCTCTGGGCCAGAGTGAGACCTGGAAGAGTAGGGGAGGCTGGGGAGGGGACAGGGCCAGATCCTAGATGCACTTTAGGCTGCACTCTACAGTTTGCACTTTTTCTTCGAGCTAAGAGAGAGCCCCTGGTGCTCTGGAAGCAAAGAATGGGTATGTTTGGATTCGTAAGGCAGCAGTGTGAGAATAGAGAGGAGTGGGGGGCTGAGGGGGGAAATTAGCGCCCCCTTGAACCCAATAGGAAGAAACTGTAGCAGTGCAGAGAAGAAATTAGGGTTGGAACCACGCAGGAACCAAGGCAGTGAGCAATGAGATAAGGACTTCCTCAAGAGATATGGGAAAAGCAGAATCGGAAGAACTCAGTGAGCGACTGGATGCTGGGGCAGGAGAAGAAATTTGAGAACATGATGATTCCGTTCCCTGAAATGTGAAATCAACAAGGACAGGCTGAGGGGGAAGATAAGGAGCTCAGTTTTCAACATTTTGAGTCTGAGGTACCCACGGAAACGAACAACCGTAACGGTAATCACGAACCATTCACTGAGGCCTCGCGGAGGTGCCAGGCCCTGGGCTTTATGTGCGTATCGTGCGTAATTGTCACAACAGCTCTGTGAGGTGGCCAGTGCGATGATCTTCATTTTGCAGGTGGGAACACGGAAGCTCAGAGAAGTTAGGTCAGCGGGAAGAAGGATGCTATCTGTGATGTGCGCACGCCACTTGCCCTGAGCTGGGCACATGGTGCATGCTTGGACGATGTCACTCTAGCCAGTTCTTATTATCTTCTCTCCACCATGGGAAGGAAATGGGGTCAAGCCTGCAGAGAAGGGGAGTCATATTTTGGAGCCCTGTGTATATATGGATGTGTATATAAATGCCTTCGTGTATATATATATATATATATATATATATATATATATATATATTGGTAGACCCATACCCAGTCTGTTGCTGCTTTTTATTTTTGGCTCTTTAATTAGGCATCTGAGATGCTTCTTGATCTTACTCATTCTCAAGCTCTGTCCCACGCCCACCCCATAATTACTTAATTTTTTACATTTCTTCTCCCGAAGTTAAACTCCGTCTACTCACATTTGTTCTGTTCTGCGAGGGAAATCGTGTGGCTGGCCATGCGGCCAGAGAAGGTTTTTTTTCTTGTGGAGAGAAGGGGAACTTTATTTACTTTTTTAATATAGCTCCTCTCGCCTGTTCCAATGCCAAATAAACAAAGCTGCTATTCATTTTAGCATCTCCCCATCTTTGTCATGCCCAGAGTCATTTTATCAGCAGAGTCTCTTGGGTTGTCTCTCTGAGAGCCTGGAACAGCAAATAAGAATGTTCTCAAAATGTGCTGTGAAAATAGAATCCCATTTAATGAGGCCACTGAGAGTAAGGTTGTTGCTTTCTTGGTAAGGGCAGGAGCAAACATTATGTTTAAAGTCTGGTGGTTGGGAAATGCTGTGGCCTCAGCAAAAAGCCTATCACTGAGTTTGTGACTCAGGGGCAAAGACAGCTGGAAGGATAACTTAGAATCAGGTCACCAGGCTCCCAGAGACCCCATCCTCATGCCTGGGACCCCGGGTGATATGTCTGCCATGCCCTGGCCTTCCCGCTAGCACCCCTCCATATCGCCCCTGTGTCTCATTCATGAACCCCTAAGTATCAGGTTGAAGGTCTGGAGCCCAAGCTTCCATCCAGTGCTACCTCCCTAGTGACCTGGCCTTGCTCTTTGATCTCTGAGCCTTCTGTCCAATGGATGATGAAAACACTCAATATATAAACCACTAGGATGAAGGGAGGAGATCTAGAGTCGCACCCAACTGGTCTCCTTGCATGAGCCCATCCCCCAAAGAAGGGCCCCCCAAAGCTTCTCCATGGTGTCCAATTTGAAAACCACTCCCTTAGGTCAAAAGAGTGCCCAGTGACCATCCATTTGTTCATTTATCCATTCAGAAAATAGTTCCCAAACACCTACTATGTGCAAGGAGCAAGGGATACGTGAATCTAAGTGACAAATGACTTAGTGAATCTAAGAGACAAGTCCCCACTCTTTCAGAGCTTTATATTTTTGTAGGGGGCATAGACAAATGCAAGATAATTTAGACCATGATAAATGCGAGAACCAAGCCAGGGTAATATAATAGAGTATGACCAGGGAGTGGAAGAGCTGTTTTAGATCAGATGATCAAAAGAGGCCTCTCTGCGGAGGTGACAACAGAGCAGACACGATGAGAAGGAGCCAGCTATGTGACGATCTGCTGAAAGGGCTTTGCTGGCAGAGGGACTAAAAAGTACAGAAACCCCGGGGAATCCCTGAGTTCTTCAAGTTTTAGGAGCTGAAAGAGTCAGGAGGCAGGTGACAGAAGATGAGGTCAGAGAGGTCAGCAGGGCCAAGGCATGTTGGCTCTTATAGGCACAGGCATGGGTTTACTTCAGATGTTTCTGGCACCCACCATGATGGTGATACGGTTCCCTGCTGAAATAATGAGATTTGGACACATTCCTTTGTCATACTGCAAAGATGCTGGATGGGGGACCCAAGAGTCCTAACTTAGAAAATCCCTTCCCTCCCAGGTTCCTTTTCCTTTCCAGAAGCTACACCACCAGAAGTGACTTCGTCCCTGTGGGGGCCTTCAGTTTTCTCTTCTATAGCATGAATTGACTGGGAAACATCAGAACCCTCCTTTTCCAGTGAAATCCTACATGGAGCTTGAAATTATGAAAGACACAAAAGTAGTATTGTATTAGCTATAATTTTATTCTGTAACTTTTAATTTAAAACATTTATCACCACTATCCATCAGGAGAACACTGAAGGTCTTCTGAGGAACTTGGTCTGTATCAGCCTCGGCATCCAAATTACCTTTACGTTTTGTGTTCCTTACAGAACACAGTTCTGAGAAAATCACCAGCATTTTACCAGCTTGCTCTGCAATCTCGGGTGACTTTCCAAATAAACCAAGACACAGAAGGAGAAGTCCTACTCTGAGGACTCCACAAAACACAGTTGCCCAGGCAGCCCAAGTAAATGTATATTAAACATTTGAGTGTGCTTTTTGCATGCTTTAAAACCAAGCTTTTAAATATTTTATTTTAACAAAACAGTAATCCAACGTTTATTGCAACACTCCAGATCCTTCCATGGAACACTGAAAAACAGCCAGTATGAGTCAGCTCCAGGACACCACAGCTCCTAGTGCTCACACATAGTTGGTGTTTCTGGGTAGAGCCCCTTTGAATGCCATCACCCCAAAATAGACACCAAAGTAGACACTTACAGTGACACACAAGACCCTGAGGCCTTGGGCTGGAGCCAGGAAGGGGCAGCTAGAGTAGGGTGGAGGGCAAAAGGAGCTGGAGTACTTAAGTCCAGGGACTAGTTTATTGTCAGAAATGATCCGAGTGTGACCCCAGGGACAGGCAGGGTGACACCTCCTTAAGTCAAGTCCTCCCAAACTCACTTGTACTTACTACTTTTGAAATCATACATGGAGATATCTCCCCCTTGGAACTCATCCTTCTAGATTGGCTAAAGCAACTTTTCCTCTTTAAAGCCTTCTCTGTCTTGCTCAAGCATGATGACTTCTGTCTTTCTGCCCTCCTTTGAGCCAGCTCTGAACCTGACACAGCTCTCTCTCACTGCACCATCTTACTGTCCTACCGTAAATGTTCTAGGCTAGACCTTGTCAGCATTCTAGGCTAGACCTTGAAGGCAGAAACCATGATTGGAGCTCCAGTCATGGGGCCTACTATTTTTGTTAATTTACTCAGTAAATATTAATTGAGCCCCTTCTATGTGCCAAGCAGTGTTCTGACTACTCTCAGTGTTCATTCAGTGGAGAATAAATCGAAGTCCCTGCCTCTATGAGTGGGGGACACTCAATATACACTGAATTATTTTCTCATAGTCCCCTATGATAACTGCTTTTAGGAGCACTAGGAGAGGAAGGATTTCATTTATCTTATTTTAACCCCAGCATAGAACTGGTGTATAAATAGGGTCACCCTTCATAGTTGTTGTTTTTTTTTAATAGACTTTATTTTTTAGGACAGTTTTAAATTCACAGCAAAATAGAGCCGAAGGTACAGATTTCCCATATACCTTCTTCCCCCGCACATGCATAGTTTCCCCCACTATCAACATCCCCCCAACCAGAGTGGTACATTTGTTACAATTGGTGAATTTTATTCAGCGCTAAAAAGAAATGAGCTATCAAGCCATGAAGAGACATGGAAGAAATATCCATGCATATTACTAAGTGAAAGAAGCGAATCTGGTAAGGCTACATATTATATGATTCCAACTAGATGACATTCTGTAAAAGGCAGAACTATAGAGACACTAGAGAGATCATGGAGTCAGGGGCTAGGGGGAGGAAGGGATGAATAGGCAGAGCACAGAGGATTTTTAAGGTAGTGAAGTTTTCTGTATGATCCTATAACAATGGATACATATCATTATTCATTTGTCAAAACCCATAAAGTGAACCAACCAATTAGTGAGCTCTAATATAACTGTGGACTCTGGGTGATAATTATATGTCATTGTAGCCTTACAGTCTTTTGATTTTATTTCTTGTTATGACTTTGGGATATCTGAAGGCCTAATAATGTACCATTGTCATGGTACGTTACATATGCTGGTTCCGTATTTACTAGAACCCCTTAATATTTTAGGCAGAGTTGTTTCACAGGTTAGGCAGCTCTGGCAAGAAAATGAATAGATGGGGTGAGCTTGAAATTCTTGGAGATGGGATGAGAAAAAGGCCCAAGGCTCTGCACCCTCAGCCACCCAGGCTCTGAAGGAATCCCAGCTCCTAGGATGGGGAAAGCTCACTGATTAGCCCAGGACCAGCCATTCTCACTGCTCACTGGTTATTCTGGGTTTCAGAAGAAAGAAGACAAAGGTTAAGAGAGAGGAAAATATAATGATAGGATGAGGTGGTGGAGAAAGGAATATAGGGGTCAGAGGGGAGCAGAGGTTTGCTCCTACACAGACTAAAAATACCAAATTCTAGAAGAACTAAAAGGACCTCCCAGTCTTCTCCCTGCAGCACCAAGAACTAAAGACAGGGGACTGTGGTCATGATTTATAACAACCCTACAGGTTACGGGTTCTGTTCTTTATCCAACATTTTAAAAACAATCTCCCTACACACATACTGTCTCTTTACTCAAATAAATGTATTTTTAAATGACATTTTATATGACTATCACAGATTATGAGTTTTATGAGCCAGATGATTTTTTCTAATACACATTGAAATAAATAGCTGTTAAAACTTAAATGTTCAGGCGCCTGGGTGGCTCCGTTGGTTGGGTGACTGCCTTTGGCTCAGGTCTTGATCCCAGAGTCCCAGGATCGAGTCCCACATCGGGCTCCCTGCTCAGCAGGGAGTCTGCTTCTCCCTCTGACCCTACCCCCTCTTGTGCTCTCTCTCTCACTGTCTCTCAAATAAATAAATAAAATCTAAAAAAAAACCTTAAATGTTCATTTGTGTGCCCTCTAAGTCACCCTGTGGACCACCGGTGTCATGCACATGGCCCTGGGACAGGACTGGTGGAGAGAAGTACCCCTGGTGCTGAACAGACTTGGAGCCAATCTTGGTCTTTGATTTATGAGCAACCATGGGCAAGTCACCTGGGTGCCCTCTGTTCATCTGTAAAATCAGAGAGTTGACCAGGGACGTCTGGGTGGCTCAGTTAGTTAAGGGTCTGCCTTCTGCTCAGGTCATGATCTCGAGGTCTTGGGATCGAGACCTGTGTTGGGCTCCCTGCTCAGTGGGGAGTCCGTTTCTCCCTCTCCCTCTGCCCCTACCCCCCACTCGTGCACTCTGTCTCTCAAAAAATAAATACAATCCTTAAAAACAATTTTTTTAATAAAAAAAAAAAAAGAGTTGACCAGATGCCATCTCCGGTCCCTTCACACTCTGAGGCTCTGCATTGTTCATTCTAGAAGGGTAGAGTCACTGGAGGTGGCACGCCCAAGACAAAGTTCTCAGCACCCTGCCCTCTCTCCTCCTTCCGAAGTTTCTCCCCACCACCCTGTTACACCCCCTTTCCCTACTGCAAGGCCGATCTGCATGGGAGACAAGCCTGCACAGATCCAACCCCCAAATTAAAATTAAATTGTTAAATTAGAAGAAAAACACTCCAGTTTTGCCAAACCTCGGCACAGCCCTCTCACACCCTTTAAATTTGGTGAAGTGAGTGATACCCTTTGCCAGGGAGGCACATCCCAACCCACACAAAAGAAATCTCTTTCTTGTTTTTGAAAAAAATGTTTACAATGACCTTTAACATCTCAATCTTTCACA